CCAAATCTCCAAGCACCAAAGACACTGAATCTTAAAACCATCTTGTCTTTGAATCATCTAAGACCGAATCCTACCCATTACCTGCCTCACTGCCAGAAATAAGAGCCCTGTAGGAGTTCACAGGCTCCCTTTGTTCAAGGATAAGCAGGGAGAGACTCATCTTCACCATCTCTTGTTAATCATCCTCACTTGACTGTGGTTACTGATGAGGTAAAGTCCCTCGGCAAGCTGAGGCAATATTTTCCAAAGGAAAGCAAGTTTTGTTTTGCATTCGGTCTTCCTCATCATCACAAGTCATGCTCAGGTTCCCAGCCTGGATCTGCCCACAAGCGACCATCTGGCCCACAGCTGCTGCGTCCAAATGGAAACACTCCAGCCCGAGTATTCCAAGGGCTCCTTTTACTTCTTGTAAATGGCAACGTCTGTGTTGTAAGTTATCCCCATTCTCTTCACTGGAAAGGCAACCACTGTCATTTTCTGTCCTTTTTTTCCCCATACATGGTTGTTTACGGCAGGAGCACATATGTCAGGCATATGGCAGGGGTGTAGTTGGTTTCAAATGCAAGCATGACCAGTTGCATTTCATCAACTCTGTGAGAGCAGCTCTCCAGGAGAAACTCAGAAACTGAACTTGTAAGGTTGGAGTTCTGGAATCCAGCCAAATCTATGTTCATTTGGTCAGGAGAGCCTGCTGGTTGAGTGCTAACAGTGGGCTATGCACCAGAGAATAACGTATCCCTCCCATTTTCTTGCCCTGACCAAGCCCAATGACGTGGGTCAGGAATAACAATAGTTAATATTTATAGAGTGCTTATTATGTGCCTGGCACTTTGCTGAGTGCTTTATATTCATTATCCTATTAAATACTTTTAACTACCCTATGAAGTGGTTATAAATATTACCCCACTTTAAATTTTTAAAATCTGCAGCTTCAAGAAGGTGAGTCATTTGTCCAAGGTCACACAGACTGTCCCAGGGCTTTCTCAAAGCACTCACAGAAGTGCTAAAAACAAATACAAGAAAACCTACAAAAACTCTAAACCCAAACCTTTCCAAAACCCAATACTTATGGAATGAGTAGCTGTTGAATGATGGATAGTAAGTTTGTGCCTTTACAATGGAAAGCTGTTTGTTTTCTCCACTAAAAATATGAATCTCTCCAGTCAACTTGGCTGGAAATCATCTACACTCAGGAACATGATAGAGAAAAGTGTCACTGTCACACTGACCTGTCTAGGGACTGCTCTCATCCCACACAATCTGGCAGCTGGTCCTTCTTATATGAGAACAGATTACAATTAGTGTTGTCTCATTTATTTGGGCCTGTGATTTTCCCTTTAATCATGCTGTTTGCTTTATTAACATAGTCTCTTTGTTCATCTTGTTCAATCCTGTCCACCTTCAAGTTCAGTGCAGATTCTGTCTCCTCCTGAAGGCGTCCTCCAGGGTTCCTTGATCTCTATTTGCTACTACAATGGTTATGATTCTTTAACACCTGATAGAATGTAGCAATTGGCAGGAACCCAGCAGATTATGCTTAGAGGGTAAGGCCTCAGGCTCTGGGTAAAGAGGGCTTTAGGCAGATACTGTCCCGTGTCTTGGACAGTCCCTGGGATGGTGGTTAATAACGACTTAATGATCTAGTCTTTGTGGCCAGACCTTTGGTTCTATGTCCTTCATGGCTAACACATCCTTCTTTCCTCCACCTCTTGATACCTGTAGGCTTCAAATTGTGCCTACATACATAGACACAACCTTATAATGACTGAGATTTTAGACAGTATTCCAATTGACATTCAGGTGTTTATACCAGGCAGTTAACCCACATCATAGCATGGGTCCAGTACTCAAAGAGCATGGCCGATTGGAACTCAAACAAAATATGTAAGTTTCTAGGGCTGGGATTTTAGAAAACCCATGGAGGTCTTCTGGATTCCTTCTTCCTGTATCTTCTTTCTCACTTTTTGCTCCTTCCTGAAGTTCCACTCTTGGAATTTCATTCTCTTGGTTGGTCATATAAAGAGGCAACCATTTGGGTTTTGATGATCATAACAGTATGCCTTCTGTGTGTTAGAACTAGAGTCCAAATAATCTCAGAGCTGATATTTGATCAGAGTGTCATAGTTTGCAAAGTGCTTTTAGAGAAACTCTACTGAGCCTTAAAATTCTCTATAAGGAATAAGAAGATTCTTACCCTCATTTTGCATATGAGGAAACCAAAGTTTAAAGAGACAGAGTTTCTGATCCAAGGTCACATGGCCAGCAAATGAAGGACTAACATGTTCTGTGTCCCCAGGTTTTCCACCAAACCATGCTTCCCATTCTTAACATTCCCCCAGACACTGCTAACCACATTAGAGTGACCTGGGATGGTTATAAAAATACCAGTGCCAGGGGCGCCTGGGTGGCGCAGTCGGTTAAGCGTCCGACTTCAGCCAGGTCACGATCTCGCGGCCCGGGAGTTCGAGCCCCGCGTCAGGCTCTGGGCTGATGGCTCAGAGCCTGGAGCCTGTTTCCGATTCTGTGTCTCCCTCTCTCTCTGCCCCTCCCCCGTTCATGCTCTGTCTCTCTCTGTCCCAAAAATAAATAAACGTTGAAAAAAAAAATTTTAAAAATACCAGTGCCAAAGCCCCACCCCAAGAGCTTCTAATTCCACTGGTATGGTTGGAGCCTAGCCATCATTATTTTTTTTCATGCCCCCTATTTCTAATGTGAGAAACATTGGTCTATCATCTTTATTTCCAAAATAATTGATGAACTACAAAGGACTGTACAAATTGATAACAGTACAAATATTAGTGTTTTTTTTTTTTTCTTTTCTTTGTAGTAGTTGCTGAAAGCCAGACTATTAATACCACTGAATCTCTGGACAAGTAAATTTTCTGTGGATACATGAGCTTGAAAATCCAACTCTTGTGTCATTCTAGAAGACAGTTTCCCATCCAAACTGCATGCTCCCCCAAGTGAACTAAAAGAGGTTATCTCCTTTAACTGGTCAGCTGTTAATATTTATGAAGCTGTTTGTGCTCTGCAATTGCTCTGCCCTGGAAATCACATTTACAAGAGCTATCACCAGCTCACTTTTATATCTGACCAGCTGTCCAGAGGAAAAATGTTAACTAGTTTACAGTTTATACTTTCTCAGAAGTTTTATGGCGAAAACACATTTTCCAATAAGTACATTCCTCTCTTTCTCTGCGTTTCAAGCATAGCACTTTAGATGCGATCAGTGGCTTGGCCCTGGAAACACAGTCTGCTACTCCTGGCCGGTGAGGTCAGCGTACTCAGCAGCGGCAGGCTGGCGGAGCCGTCCTAAGTGCGGACTCCTCTCGCTCAAAATGCAGGGTCAGTTCTTCCTTCTGTGTCTCCCGTGCAAGGGGGTCTGATGTGCTGGGAAAGTTACAGAGACAAGTGAAAGGAGGCAAAGTGGGAGAGACAGTTTATCTTCTGAGTAATTAAAACCCAGCTAATCAGAAGCTTCGATTAATTAGAAGAGATAAACCCTTACAAGACATAGTTGTCGTGAACCATTTAAAAAAGGAAACCTTTCTGGGATGCTTGGGTGGCTCAGTTGGTTAAACGTGGGACTCTTGGCTTCGGCTCGGGTCAGGATCTCAAAGTTCTTGGGTTTGAGCCCCACTTCAGGCTCTACGGTGACAGGTCCTCTGTCTCCCTCTCTCTGTCCCTCCCCTTTTCACGCTCTCTCTCCCTCATAAATAAATAAATATTTAAAAAAGAAAAAGAAAGAAAACCTTCTTTGTCCTAGGTTTTATTAGTGTAAGAATTTAAAATCAAAGATGATCTTTATTCATCTTGTATTCTTCATACCTAATACAGTGCCTAAAGTATATCTGCACTTAATATATTTGTTTTCAAATTCATTAAAATAGATTTTTTTAACATTTACTCACCTTTGAGAGACAGAGACAGAGCGTGAGCAGGGGAGGTGCAGAGAGAGAAGGAGATGTAGAATCCGAAGAAGGCTCCAGGCTCTGAGCTGTCAGCACAGAGCCTGACATGGGCTGGAACCCACGAACCATGAGATTGTGACCTGAGCCAAAGTCGGATGCTTAAACGACTGAGCCATACAGGTGCCCCTTTCAAATTCATTTTTATTTTCATCAAATAAACATATGCTCGTAGGTTTTTTTTGTTTGTTTGTTTTTTAAACAGTATACTTTCAAGATTTATAATGAAAAACAGCCTCGGCTTTCTTCCATTACATCCTGGTTCCATTCTCTAGCAACTTTGATATTTTGACTATTTTTTTCTGACATTTTTCTTCTTGTGTCTAAATAATACATTACTGCTGACTTTTCTGGATTTATCAGTTTTCAAAATTATTTATTCACTGGGTGTCAACTTTGGAAACGATCTGTTGACCCATTATGGTAGATGGGGATCCAGTTGGGTGTTACTTCCTTTCCCCCGACTTTTCTATCCTTCCTCTCCCTTTGAGCATAGTTTATGTGACAGTTCTGTTAAGTACACATTTACGTTACTTTGTCTACGTAAGTATTATTTGCTGCTGAGCCAAGTGGTTATTCTTCGATTATATTTTCTTTCTTGTATGGTTTGTTTTCTTTCTCAGGTTAACTGCCTGCTTTTATGTTTGTTTCCTTCCTTTTGCTAAAAGTGTCTCAAATTTTTCAATAATTCCTTCTAAACACAATACCTACATGCTGTCAATACTATTTTTTCACATGTGCTGATATATTGTCATATGTATCAAATAATCTCTCAGTTCCATTTTGATATTCCCTTTGGAGACCTCTTGCTCTATTTTTGTTCAAATCTTGATGGGCTGTTCTGTACAACTGCTTAACAGCTGTCACCTGTCTGTAGTAAGAAGCCTCTGAGTGGCCCCCTAGGGATCCCATGTCTTGGTATTCTTGTTGTTGTGTAATTTTGTCTACTTGAGTGTGGGCGGGAACTATTATTCACTTCTGATAAACTTATGTGCTAAGTGTTTGAGAAATACTGGAAGAAGAGAAGGGGAAGAAGAAGGAAAAAACCTTTTATAATTCAGATAAAAGACAGTGTTGATTTGAACTAAACAGTGGCATTGGATATAAAATAAATGGCAGGATCAGAGACCTCTTAGAATAGATGGGAAACCATCCTGTGTGATCAGTCTACTATCTGTTTGATATATATTAAGTATCCGTTAATGTAATCTACTTAGATTGTTAACTTCTCAAGGGCAGAGAGGAGTCCTCACGTAAGGTGCTTATCTGAAGTTTTCAAATTAGAGCTGCACATAAAGTGGGTGTCTGTGGCACGTGTTGTCTTGCATGTCCCCCAATGGCCCTGTCCACTCCTCACCTCCTTGCCTCCCGCCCTCACAGTCCTGCTAGATGACTGGACTCATTAAAACTCAATCATTTTCATGTTAACCTTAAATGGGGGACATTGAGTCTATGGCATTTCTCTCTGGTTATTTGGACTATTGGGAAACAGAATATATGTATGGGAGTAGGATTCATAGGGCAGGGAAGAACAAAAGTGGCTGGCTGGTGAAACGGTTCCTCTGGCAGCCACCCAGTATACTTCTCTGCTTCTTCAACAGTGACCATCCATTCTTCCTGCTGAAAAGAAGCAATCTGTTTTAAGCCAGAAATATCATGAGGAGACCAAGTTTCCACAAGTGAAAATTATATTAATTATATAACATCTAAGCAGTTCATGGGAATCTGAAAAAGTATTCCTTTTACAACCTCTTGCAGGGATCTATATTCACTGCAGTTGGACACATGGATTGGACCCAGCATAGATTTCCTTTTCCACTCAGAGATGCAATGTATATACTCATCCTAATTAATCAAAAATATTTTGGACAGATGCTCAAGATACCCACACGGACGTTAGACAAAGAGGGAACAGAATAGCATTGTACTCTGTAGCATTATCAGTATTATATACTTCATTCCAACATCCCTAGAACATTTATGGTCTAATTTCCTATTGAGTAAATGTGTGAAGAAAACATATACGGTTTTAGAATGGATCATTAAAAATAGGAGGCACCAAGGCACCTGGTTGTCTCAGTAGGTAGAGTGTGTGACTCTTCATCTCGGGGTTGTAAATTCGAGCCCCATGTTGGGTGTAGCGATTAATTAAAAAAATTCTTAAAAAATAATAGGAGAAACCATTTCTTCCTTCCCTCCCTTCTTTCTTCCTCCCTTTGTTTCTTCTCACGTCCACTTCCTGCCACCTCTCTTTCTTCATCAATAGTTGAGTAACTGTTACGTTCCGTCCACTAAGTAAGGCAAAATTAAGAAGAGAAAGCCTAGTATATTACCTTAAGATCTGGGAATAATTCCTCCCATTAATCAGGCCCTGGAGACCAAATTTTAAAGCAGCCTCTCCAACAATAAAACAGTTTTGCAATGGGGATCTGCAGGTTGGTGACTTCTACACCCAGCCTGTTAAGTTCTTTGTTCATGCCCTCATTTTACGGTTTACTGTCTGCTTCCCCTTCACTCTAGTGGACTGTGACCACCTGGTGGGGCAAGAGACTAGTTTTCATTTGGGTTTCTCTTCCTTGCCTTCTGTACCTCATCTCCCCCCCCCCCCCCCCCCCCCCCCCCCCCCCCACCTTCCTGGACTGTAGGAGCATACACTGAATAACATGTGTGAAAGCAATCTGAACTTCTTGGAAGTCAAGAGTGACAGATTCAAGGCAGGGCATTGTGATTTTCTTCCTGAAACCTGCTGTTTAAAATATTGACTTCAATAACAGTACTTGATGTTAAAAGAATTAGCCTATTCCATTTATGATGATCTTTTAATTGCAAGAATCTAAAGGCATATAAAACATTGATTCAAATGACCATTAAAAATGGGATCAGATGGTTTCTTAATTAAAGTAGTCGCCTCACTTTATTAGTTAGGAGAGGCTAGGCTTATGCTGTGGTAACAAACAACCTTGACATCTTGGTGATTTAACACCTCAAGTTATTTCCCACTAATGCAAAATCCGCTGGAAGTCCAGGCAATTCTCCGGGGCAGTTGCCAGGGCAGGAATTCAGCGGTCCATACCACTTCAGTCTGGGACTCCACCACCTCAAATGAGCCTTTCTCCATGATTGCTGGGACAGAGGAAAACCAGATTGGAGAATCATGCAGAGCACTTCACTGACTCAGCTTGGGAGTGCCATATACCATTCCCACTCATTTTTTCCTGTTCTTAAGTAGGCAGATGTCCCTCCCTCTCCCTGAAGTACTAGGAAGTGTAGCTTCCCTTATATACCCAGAAGGAAACAGGAGCTAGTTATTGAGAAGCATTAATAATGTTTACCATACTACCATACTTAAATACTCCTGGAGCTAGCTCCCAATTCCATGGATGATAAAGCATAACAGTTATAAAGTTGAAAGGCAATCTAGTACTAACAACTCATTCTTAGAGATAGGGAAACCAAGAATTTGTGCCCAAGGTCATGAGGTCACTAATTATGAGTCAGGAGTAGAACCCAGAGCTCTTGATGCTCAGTTCAGAATTCCTAGTCTTGTGACAGTTCCCAAGTGCTTTCCTTGGGAGGTTAATAGGTAACTCACATACACGAAAGTGATCCTGTGGTCAAATTAATCCACAAAGACAGGTTAAACACTAGGATAAATAAGGCTAAATAGGTTTATTTGCAGGAGAACTCCTCAAAGCCCTTAACATAATAAAATACATTGTGAATCTTCATGTACCAGAGTATCCAGTAATTACTGACCATTTTTGAACACAGGAAACATCCCCTTCCCTGTAATATTTATTTTCTTTAGAGTACCTTATAAGTGAGGATCACACTATCATATTACCCTTGCAAAATTGTTATGCAGACAAAGTTAATCTTTGGAAGTTAACCTCATCAATATTGTTTAATAGATATTTTTTCTCTTCACCCCTCTTAAGTACCCATTTCACTCATAAATCAAAATCATTCTGGTTTTAAGAGCTATATCCCACTGATACATACCACTAATCTTACATTCATACATTATCTCCACTCATATGACAAATAGGTAGTGAGCATAGACTTTATGCCAGGTCTGATATTGATGGTAGATACTTAAAGATGAACAAAATGTGATCACTGTTTTTATACTGCAAATAGACTAAAATGGGAGACAAAACCCAAATAAACAATATAACAAAATGTTCTAAGTGCTATTATAGACACAAGAATAACATTCTAGGGGCACACAAAATAGATGTGACCAATTTCTGCTCTTTCCAGTGAAGTGAAACTCCTAGGGGATTTTCTCAGGAACTATTATTAAGTCTTTTCAATCCTTTATTTGAACAAGTGGTTTCCTGGCTCTCAGTGCTGAGATTTTCCCGTACACTAGTGACACTGTATCTTACCCACTCTAGCCTCCTGGGATAAGCAGACAATGTCTTGGAATCTTGGCTTAGTAGCTCACGTAGTGGCTCTCCCTCCCTACTCCAGTCATGCGCAGATTCAATAGCCTTCCTTGTATATTTTCATCCAAGTCCATAGCAATTTTGTTCAAGGCAGGGCCAATGACCCACTTAGAGAACTACTCCCACTATTAGAAAACTTCATGCCCTTGGGGAATTATCTTCTATCTTTAAACCAATTTCAGTCTAAGTGAAAGTTCTGAAGGAAACAAGAAACATTTAAATTGTTCCAAATGGTCCACTGCCTTCCAAACATTCTTCTTGTAGAAATTTGCAACACAGAAGTGAGACCTTGTGGTTGTTACTGATCCTTACTTTTTTTACATGTCCTTTTCTGAATGTTCATTGAGTTCCTACTAAGGTGCCAGAGGTGGTGATAGGCAGGCAAGGGACATTCAATTCAATCCCCATAGTGATCTTCTAAGTTAGGTACTCTTTCCCTCATTTATAGGTGCAGAAACTTGAGACAATGAGATTTTACATGTCTTGTCCAGAGATAATTATGCCAATAGGTAGATGAGCTGAAATTGAATCTGGGTTTATTGAATTCCAGGTCCAAAAAGTGAAATTCCAACACATGCTGTGTTTCATCCTGAGACCTCACTGGTCTCTGAATGCAAGTATGCCAATCATTTAATCAACACTTGAATCCTCTTTCCTTATTACCTGCAGAGTCTTTTCCAATTATCTTTGGGAGTCCACAGGGATATATTACATATATTCTGCTCCACTGGTCCCTAAACCAAAGTAGATTCTTGGGTCCTGCCTTTAGAGAATTTAGATTTTATGGGTCTAGGATAGTGTCCAGGAACCTGTATTTTTAACAAAGTGCCCTGACTAACCTGATGACTAGTCAGGTTTTAGAACACTGGGTATTTGTTTGTTTGTTTTGTTTTGTTTTTTTACATGCTATCATATACTGAAATTGGGGATTGTGGCCCAAATGGTGGGTAAAAGATCAGCAAAGCATCCTGTGATGCTTTTCAGAAAATTAAAGGTATTATCTCTCTCTCAGTGGTTCCTGGTACTATCTTCCCTCCTCAGCAATACAGCCCAGGAATCAAAAAACTAGGCTTTGGTCTTTTCTCCTTACTTATTGGCTAAAGAAGGATAAAGAACCATGATGACTATACCATCACAAGGTAGTTGGAATGTGAATACAACAGTCCATCTCACTCCTCGTCTAGCCTAATCATCTCTCTGGAAGGCTACTGCAATATCTTTCTAATTTGATAGCCTGCTTCTACTCTTACCCCTTGGTCTAGCTTTTCCAGTTTTATAGAAGGCTAAATCCATTGGAGAAATTATGCAAGGTGTTTTGGAGGCAGAGAGAAAGGAGAAACTCATCTTTGAGAGGCCTTATATCTAAGAAGAGACATTCCTCATTGGGAAGTTCAGATATGTTGATGAGGCTTAAGAACCAAGGATGAGGGGCGCCTGGGTGGCACAGTTGGTTAAGCGTCCGACTTCAGCCAGGTCACGATCTCGCGGTCCGTGAGTTCGAGCCCCGCGTCAGGCTCTGGGCTGATGGCTCAGAGCCTGGAGCCTGTTTCCGATTCTGTGTGTCCCTCTCTCTCTGCCCCTCCCCCGTTCATGCTCTGTCTCTCTCTGTCCCAGAAATAAATAAACGTTGAAAAAAAAATTAAAAAAAAAAAAAAAAAGAACCAAGGATGAGACAAACCTGAGTAGATGGCTGGGAGATAGGACATGCTAACAGAGATTTAAAGAATGTATCATAAGCTGTGTCAGTGATGAGGTATGTTGTGACCATGATATATTGGAGATTAAAATGCTTCATCTCCTATTTTGGAGGTACTATGTATATATCCAGGATTCTTGGGAAGGAGAGGGTTTCCCAAAATGATAGCTAACGAAGTGTACAGACTTGTAGGATATTGGTGCAGCATATTGACGATGGATATTGATAATGGGGAAATATTAAATTTAGAATTAATTGAATTTATAGAAAATAAAGTCACTGTTTCTTGCTGGTTGGGGAGATGACTCACATCATTCATATGCAATGTCCTTCTGGCTGTCAATATACATGCAAAACATCCCATAATTTCGGACAAGCTGTTTTATTGACAAAATGCAAAGCTGATTAGATGCTACTTCTAATTTTAAATATTATGGGAAAGGCTTTATCTGATAATATTTTATTTAAGTGATATCCATGAATAATTATAACCTTGAACTTGAATATAATAAACTCGCCTACTATAATTGGTGAAAATATGTCTCGTGCTTGTCATCTTCAGCAGGAGATTGTGCCTTCCTTGAGTTTAAGTTTATTTATTTATTTTTGAGAGAGAGACAGAGAGAGTGAGCAGGGAGAGAGAGAGAGGGAGAGAGAGAATCCCAAGCAGGCTCTGCACTGTCAGCACAGAACCCGATGTAGGGCTTGAACTTACAAACCATGAGATCATGAACTGAGCCAAAACCAAGAGTCGGATGCTTAACCAACTGAGCCACCCAGGCACCCCACAAATTTGTAGCCTTAAATTTTAATGTAATTATTTTTGCATTGCACAGAATAGTGTCTGACACTTGCAGGTGATTAGTAAAACTATAAAAGAAGGAGAAGAGCAATACATATTAAAAGAGGAGAAAGTGCTGCAGGTGATCAAAAAGTATGATAGTGGAGAAAGAAAGGAAAGAAAAAGTGGAGAAGGCAAGAAGAATAAGAAGGGGAAGGAAGGTAAGGAAGAACTGTGAACATTTGACAGGGAGGAGGAAACAGGTAACAGGATGGAGTTGAACAGGGAAAATATCTCTCATTTTCCATCAGATCAGAATAGGTTGTGGCTCCAGGAAGTTTCAACCAAATACCAGGGATCTTTCTGTCTCCCTCAGAAAGCATTAAGCTTCATAGGAAGCAATTCCATAAAGCTTGGAGATCCACCAGTAGTCTTTCATGGACAAGTTTATAACCTGTAGTGGAGAGTACACAAGATTCAGGAGCACATTCTTACTTTTTATCTGATTGATTTAATATTGACAAGGTCGTGTTGTGTCCAGGGAGAAACAGGGCTTAAGCTCTCACACTCCTCAAGAGCTGCATAGCTGAGCTTCAGGTGTTCCAATTGGACAGGTCTTCCAACTGGTATCCCTATTACCATTGATGTTGATTAGAAAATATTAGACTTTGGATGGGTTTTCTCCTCCTAGAAATAGGGAAGGAAGTCTTTCCTTATGCATACTTGGAAGATTGCCTTTCTGTAAACACATTATTGATTTTCCTTTTTCTCAATCATAAACCCAAACAATTATACCTTGTTTACCTTTCTCCTTTCATTTTCATCATCTATGCCATCGGGAAATCTCAATAAATTGTACAGCTAGAGTGACTGCCTCCATACTAATGTACATAAATGTAGCCAGGAATTGGCTAATGTGGCTTTGGCAAAATCACTATGGAAAGAAGAAGAGAAAGGAAAGGTATTTAGTGGAATAATGCAGTAGAATAGTCAGAAACTGCCTTTGGCCAGATGTGCCCAATAGTCTCTTGAAAATGAAATGCACACCACTTTATAGTTTCAGCGTGTCTGTGCGTTGTTTCCTTAGAAAGGCGTGGCATTCCCTTTAGGATATAGGCACCTTTATGATAACCACTCTTCTGTATAAGTAAATTTTTCTCATAATTGAAATTATTTATTTCAAGTCAAAAACTGAAAAATGTTAACAAATATTGGTATACAAAATATATATTCTCTACTCCTTTGCCTTCTTGAACAGGGAGTACTAAATTTGTAACAATTTTTCTGATAAACCAGGATCATTCTCATGGACCTCCATTATTGAATTTGATGGTGATAAAAGTAGGTGTTGCATTGCAGTTTTCTCTCTTCTTCTTCTTCTTCTTCTTCTTCTTCTTCTTCTTCTTCTTCATCCTCTTCTTCTTTTTCTTCTTTGTTAAACAATAAACAGTGATTTTTCAAATCTCTCTGGTTTTCAATCTCTCTCTTCCTTTCTCTCTCTCTCTCTCTCTTGGATTCTCCTACCCTTAGGTTCATTCTATA